ATATATATATATATATATATATATATATATATATATAAGATATATAATGTCAATGATTTTGAATGTTATATTCAAATATAAGAGCAATGACACAAAGATAATGTCTAGTTTGATCTCTTTTTTTTGTCCTTTCATTAATCAGTTTTTTCTTATATTTTGTTAAATACCACTACTTTAACTATATGAACAATTAGTGAAAGTAACTAACTATGTTACAAAAGAAAAGCAAATAAGATAATTTGTAACAATGGAATATTAAGTATCTTTACCTTTCAATAAATGATTTTAAGTTTTATTGAATATGTTTTATGTCAAGAAGAATCTTTTGGAGTTTGAAATCTCATTTAAGTAACAATGTTTATTCCTGATAATTTCAGTGTTCATGTTTCTGTTCGTTTTCATGTTTAGTATACTTGTTTATAAATTTGCTTTTATTGTAAAGTTTTCTAATATAATTGATAAACTATTTTGTATTACTAACATAATTCAAAAAACAAAATTAGGTTAAGTGCAGAGTTTTTTTTTTTTATCTTTAAATAAAAAAAATTGATTTTTAACTTGTATTTATAATATTTAATTGACTTGAATAATAGGATCATAATGTTTCCTTTGTGAATGAATTATAGAAGTGGGTATGAATGGATTTTTCTTGACACTGTAATCATTATAAGCATACTATACTACCCTTTAGCATTTCATTTTTTACTGAAATGTCGATTGTTGTTGTTGTTTTTAGCATAGAACAAACCTGGATGTATTAGTAGAAATAAACCTTGGATACTGTGTGTTTTATGTTTGAAATAAAACTGGTAAACAAATTGTGAATATATGAATGATATAGTATTTTAACACGAACCTGGATCAATCAGACTTTTCTTGCTCAAGAGAGACAGTTTTGTATTATTTTATTTTTACATAGACGTTATTGGAGTCTAACATGGTTTGGACGCCCAACTTGAAATCTGCAGGTCGAGGGATCGAACCTTGTTACTAAACATGCCTGTCCTTTCAGCCATGGGGTCGTTATCATCTACGGTCAATCTCTATTCGTTGGTAAAAAGTAGCCCACGAGTTGGCGGTGGGGGGTGTTGACTAGCTAAGTTCTCTGTCGTTCGAAAATTAAGGACTGCTAGTTCAGATAGCCCTCTAGTAGTTTTGAGCGAAATTTTATAAACAAACGAACAAATCATTATATTTTTCTGAACAAATGTCACCCCCCCCTCACCAAATGGCTCAGCGGTAAATCTCAAGACTTATAATGCTAAAAACCGTTTTCGATAACAGTGGTGGGCACAGCACGGATAGTCCATTGTGTTGCTTTGTGCTTAACTACAAACAACTTATGGAAAAATAAATAAGTTGTTGCTTATGTTTGTTCTATTCATTTCCCTTTGTTACAAAGTTTGTTTGTTTGTTTTTTAAGTTAAGCACAAAGCTACACAATGGGCTATCTGTGCTCTGCCCACCACGGGTATCGAAACCCGGATTCTAGCGTTGTTAGTCCGCAGACATACCGCTGTGCTACTGGGGGGCTTGTTACAAAGTAATATTTATATGGGCACAGTTG